ACTTGCATTTCAGCTGTTGGATCGGAAAGGTTTTGGTGTGTTTGTCGCGTTTTGCTATGGTCGTGTCTTATTTTGATAGCATTTTCTTCTGGAAGATACCTTTTAACCGTGAGGTTCTGCTGTTACCTGAATCTCTTTAATTTGTTAGCATCTTTACGCAAAGGCTTTCTCTCTTCCCATCGTTATCTCCCTTGAGTTCCTGTCTTTCAGTTCCGTAGCAGCTTTTAACGCTGTAACTGCTGAGAGATCAGTGGTCCTGATAACACTGTAAGATTTTTACAGTAATAACTGACAAAAACCCCCATCCTAACTTAAAGATAGTATTAAACAACCACAGATTTCTCAGGTTGTCTTCTGGGTGACTGCACTTAATCTGGTTGGGTTTTGCTATGTGAAGCTGACAAGTTAACGTTTTACAGGCTCAGCATAGCTCTTCTGTAGGGATGTTCCTCGGGTATGTGCAAAATCATGGCTGCTAGTTGTCAAACCAGACTTTTCCAGGAGTGAGGAGCTTGGATTTCACAACTGCATTTGAGGAATGTGCTCTTTAAGCTCCTGTACTGCTGTGGAAAGTCTGTCTGATTTGCAGCAGTCGTTTAGAGGTTGTGTGTATTAACCTTTACTGTTTGGGTTTTTTTAATAAAAAATGACCAAAAAAACCTCCTTAATGTTTTCTTTATGCTCCAGAAGCACAAAATGGGTCATTAGGTCACTTTTTCTGACATATGAGGACGTGTGTTATAACACAGTATTTTACTGATATGTCAGAGTGACTCTGGTGAGTGCCATTATTACTCTTAACTTCTTCAGTGAAGGAAATTGTTCTGTGCTAGGTCATGAATTGTGCATCAGAAGTTTAAAGTTGTGTGGGTGGTAACGTGTTTAACCTGTGAATATTGCTTGTTTTCCCATCTGCTCCCTCAAGTCGCTTGACGGGTGAAGAAGGCAAAGAATTCACTGCAGATATCAAAAGACACTTTCCTCGGCTTTGCAAAGCGTTCAAGGTACGTCCTTCCCGTGCAGTTTTCTACACTCCAGTGATCAAAGGCATGGTTAGGTGGTTGTTAAGGTCAGTGGCTGTTGTAAGACTTGAACTGGAGTTCGTTTAGTAAAAGTTCAAGCCGGTGACACAGCACTAAGGGTTTGTTGGCAAAAATGTATCTTCCATCTCACTAGAAATTGCTCCAGGAAAAAACCACAGGGTGTTGAATGTGTTCAGGCAGTGCTCTTTGATCAAAGCTGATCTTCCAGCTGGAAGAGACACAGTGTGCTCTGTCTGCCTTTAGAAACTCCTCGGACAATTGGAATATGGTAGATGTAAAAATGGTTTTGAAGATCAGTGTGAAGACTGTTCTTAGCCATTATTTTCCCCATCTGTTTTAAATGTTTAAAAACAGTTGGAGATTCAAGTGATAGCACACGACAAGTGAAGAAGTAAAGAACTTTGGGTGTGTAGAACGTATTTCAATAATAATAATATCTAAATTACTAAGAATGAGCCTCAAATTATTTCACTGATTTGCAGTGTATGCGATCAGGAAGGGTTTCCTGCACGGGTGCATTTCTCATCAGTTCTTTTGACAGCTCTCCGTTGAGCAGAAGTGTTGGTATTAGGACGATACTTCTCAGCTCCTTGTGTAAACTGAGGCTTTATTTTCCTCTTTCAGGCACACATGTCTAGTCAAGACTTGAGTCTAAGTAATGCAGCGTTACAGGCGTTGGGATTCTGTGTTTTTAATTCGAAGGTTACGTGTGAATTGTCTGGTAAGTAAACAGACCAGTGTGGATGCTGGTAACGTGTGTGTGTGTACACTGGAGTTCTTCTTTTATTTCTTTGTTGGCGTATACTTGAGTTTTGACCAAGTTTACGGTTCTGAGGTGGTAGAGTGGCTTTGTCTCTAGTGTGAGCAGTGAGATCGGTTCCCTTAATTCCATCTTGTACGAAAAAGTGCTGATTTCTTTTCATGCTGCTGTGCTATTGCTCTGTTGCTAACTTCTGGTACTGTCAGTTATTCTTTCCCTTTCTTCTGGAAGTGTTACATTCTCTTGGATAAATGTTCTGGAATGACCTTTATTAGAGAGAAACTCAGGCAGGACTGAACAAAATCCTGTGTGGGTGTGCAGAGAGCGTTTTTTTTATGTGACTCTGCCATTCTGTTCAATGAAGTTGATTCTTTCTCAGTTTTTCTACTCATTTTCCAGTGTGTCCTGCTTTCCTGCTACTCAGAATTTAGCCTTTAGTTTTTTGTGTACTCTTGATTGAGGAAAGGAGTGCATGTGAGCTTATGTTTCTCTGGTGGTGAGGTCGTTTACCCACAAAGCCCAAATTTGTAAGAAATCAGGCTTTGTTACCTTTGAACTTTAAAGGAATACGTGACTTCTCCATCTGCCTTCTGGTGACGTGCAAGTCCTCTGTTAGCCTTATTCTTTTTAGTGTGTAATGAGCTCACTGTTGCCTCAGTTTGCAGCTTTACCACCCTCTTGGAAATACAGGAAGTTCTGAATAATTAAATATGTAATATTTAGCTGCAGTGTTTTCAGGTACAATTGCATTCTAGTTTGATGATGATGTGGTTTCTTACAAACATAGATGTACTGCACTAATTTACCTGTACGTTGATAATTTTATACTTTTTTGCTAGTTTTATTTTGAGAGAAATTGCCAGAAAGTCATGTAAGACATCGAAAATCATGGCTGCTGGTTGAGTGGGTCTCTAGTGATGTCAGCTGGGCAAAATGACCAGAGACTTGCTGAGAATCGCAAGAGCAGGATTTGAGCGCTGTGCCTTCTGCTTTCAGCAACTGAAGTCCAAGACTTGCTTTCAATGCTGAACAGCATTGCTGTAACATCTGCAGATAAAAGCACTCGCACTCGGGCACTTTGGGTGATCTCTAATTTTTTGCTGAAATTGTTCAGAAGGAGGTAAGTTTCTTCACTGTTTTGTGTGTTTGCAGATTTCCTAGGGAGATGAGGCTTGTGCAAGCTTTTGATCACTCTCCACTCAGTAGCTTTTGAATCTGAAGGTCATTTCCTATCAAATTTGACAGCGAAGTATAGGGAAAAGGTCTTGGAAATAAGGGCAGGTACAGAGGAAAAAGACCCAAGAAATTATTGCTTCTCTTGAGGGAGCAGCTGCAACGTGAACAGTTCTGTTGGGTACCAGTCAAGCAGTAGAGAGGAGAAATATTGTGAATACTCCAGTTTGGTCAGAGTATTAACCTTAAGACTAGACTGAACGTAATCCAAATACAGGGCACAGTGCTAGGAAACAAAATTTCATGATAGCAGCTCCTCATGGAAGTATAAATATTCAGGTGCTCGCTCTGATGTTCTTATTTCCTCAGGTGTCCAGTATTATTTCTACCCTGGAAACCATCCTTGCTAAAGATGCGCAGTCTATGGTGGTTGAATACGAAGCACTGAATGTTATTATACGGTACGTGCATGGCAATATTAAAATGTTAACATAGATGCTTCGATTTTTGGGGAAACTACTGAAATAAAACCTTAGTGGGTAAGATAAGAACGCTTGACAAGGCCTCTGTACACCGAGTCTGTGCCAACCTGTGCTGCTTCAGAGTTTGGGTCGTTTTCCAGCGGCAGGCATGTGTTGTTTTCAGCACACGTGGCCAGTTGGAATTGGTCTGGACCGCTGGGATTGCATGGGCTGGTTAATTGGTGGCCAAACACAAAGTTTGCCTATGAGGAAGTGATGGTGTCCTTCCTTCAGGCTCTCAGTTTGGCTCTTTTGACCAAAAAATTGTGATAGAATAGAAGGGACAACTGTAAACATTGGTTGTGGAGAGGTTTATCTGAAATAACACCTCGGTATTGCAGTTTTAAGTGAACTGTCAAAATACAGTTGTTTAGAAAAATAGAATTCAGAGTGGTTTCCTGTAAATTGTGCATTGAATTAGTGTTTGTTAATGATACCGAGATTATTTTTGAGTGTCAGACTTGTAATACCGATACCTGTTTTTTGGATCTAGCTTAGTGGAGCAAACCCCAGCCCAGATGGTGCAAGAGGCGGTGAGGTGGGCAAAGCTGATCATTCCCCTGGTGGTCCACTCGGCTCATAAGGTGCAGTTACGAGGTGCCACGGCGCTGGAGATGGGCATGCCCCTGCTGCTGCAGAAACAACAGGAGGTGGCGGCCGTCACCGAGCACCTCATGACCACGGTAAGTGGAAATGCTGTGCCTCTTTTTCTAGAGGCAGCAGGGCCAGTAATTGGGGTTATTGGTAGGTTGGGGGTTTTAAAATTCTAGTTACAGGGCTGATAGTGGCAGCAAAAAGCTGCTGTGCGTTGACAGTAACTTCTTGATGACAGCAGTTTCAACAGAAAGATTAATGTAACTGCAGTGTAAATATAGGAACACTAGAAACTTTCAGTTTCTGACAGGGAACTAAATTGTTCAGGAAAATAACTTGCTGTTTTTAAATGACCTTTAAGAACCTGTCTTGACAGTGTTAACTCATAAATATCATAAAAGTTTAATGTACTTCGCAAGAGAATTTGCTTGGTGAGTTAGAATCAGCAGAACTGGAACACAGGAGGTTCCACTTCAATTTGAGAAGAAACTTCTCAGTGAGGGTGACAGAGCCCTGGCCCAGGCTGCCCAGAGAGGTTGTGGAGTCTCCTTCTCTGGAGACATTCAAAACCCGCCTGGACGCCTTCCTGTGTAACCTCATCTGGGTGTTCCTGCTCCGGCAGGGGGATTGGACTGGATGAGCTTTGGAGGTCCCTTCCAATCCCTAATGGTCTGTGATTCTGTGAACTTGGTGTGACAGCAGCTCTCATCATCTAACTTAGCTTCCTACACAAAACAGGGCTTCAGATTTAAGGTCAGGTTGCTCAGGGCCTTGTCCAAGTGGGGTGTGACTATGTTAAAAGGATGGAAATCCTGCAGCCTGTCTGGGCAGTGTGTACAGTGCTTAACCACCCTTGTGATAAGATTAAAGCCCTTCTGCCTTGGTGAAATGTCTGTCAGTTGCCTCCGGTTGCCTGCTGGATTCACTCCGGTTTGTCTGGAGCTCTGGTACTTGGGAGCACAAAACTTGGTGCAGTATTGGAGAGATGATCTGATGAGCACCAAGCAGAGGAGTAAAATCTCCTGATTTGTTTCTTGTGCTTTTCCTGGTGCAGTCTGGTGTGCAGGAGCACGTTCCTGACTTAATATTAAAATTCTTGTCCCTGCCTCTTTCTGCAGAGGTGTTACATAGCGCGTGAGTCAGCAGCAGGTTCCCGTCCGTGGGGTTTGTCTCTCAAAGGACTTTGCTTTGAATTCTGTGTGGTTTCACTTTTCAAGCTTGTAAAGATCCCCGTGAATGGATCTTTGCTGGCTCGTAATACCCCAGATCCTCTGGTTTGTGTTTGTTTAAAAGCTGGCATAAGATTTGTCTTGCCCTGCCCTGTCATTGGGGATCTCTCCCGGCTGCAGTGACCTCTCAAGAAATAATAGCATGGCCTCGTGTAGTTGGCCTTCTCCTTCAGCATCTTGAGGTACACCCTGTAGAGTTTGGTGGATTTGTGTATGTCAGGTTTACTTAAGTAGTCCCCAGCTCAGTTCTTCTCTACTGTGGGTAGTAGCTGTGTGAAGGTGCTGGGATGTTGGAGGCCTGAGGGTAGAGATGGAGGCAAGAAAGGCATTGAGTACCTCAACATTTTCCATGTCCAATCACATTCCCCACCCTATTCAGCACCAGCCCCTTTGGTCTTTTTGATGAGACTTTTCATGTTCTCCTTCACTTCCAGGACTGTAGGCTTAGTTATTTTTGCTTCATTCACTGCTGAAATTAAGTATGTTTACCAAAAAAACCCAAATAAACAAGGTAGTGTTTAGGGTCACAGTGTTTTGACTTGAGAGCTAGAGGGACTACGAGTATTTAAATAAACTTTGATTTGTTGCCACTATCAGAATAATTGAAACCAACCATAAGCTTCAACTGAGAAGGTAACCAGATAATAGCATTTGCTAATAAATCAGTCTAATTTTGCTACAAGGTACAGAATTCAATCCCTCTGATCTAGAAATAGCGTAGTTCTAGGTTGGTTGCATCTCCAGACGTTGGTACGAGTACGTAGTTGTTAGGATACTCTGAATGAATGTCTTGTAGAAATTACGTTTCTTTCTGTCTGCAGAAATTAATTTCAGAACTTCAAAAACTGTTTTCTGCAAAAAATGAGACGTACGTGTTAAAACTATGGCCGCTCTTTGTCAAACTGCTTGGAAAGGTAAGCAGAAAAGCAGTAAGTTCTACAGTCGTGAGTCTTTAGGGGAGGATTTCTGACAATTTCAACACCTTAATTCTGAATTTCTTTGTCTTCAGGCTCTGCACCGCAGCGGCAGTTTTATCAACTCATTGCTGCAACTGGAGGAACTTGGATTTCGTAGTGGCTCACCCGTGGTAAAGAAAATAGCCTTCATTGCATGGAAGAGTCTAATAGATAATTTTGCTCTAAATCCAGGTAGATTATAAAAAGTGAACCTGAATTCATTTGACTGCTGTCGCTCTACGTAACAGGAAGAGACTGTTTTTTTTTCCTGCCTTCTGTCTAATAGTGGTCAATGCTATGGTGCATGTCCCTGGATGTCCCTGGTGTATCTGTGGTGTACGTAGTGGTGTATACTGCGTGTGTACATCAGTAAATTCAAGTTTTGAGGGGACGCTGTTGGGGTTTTTTGTTTGGTTTTGGATTTTTAAGTGACAGTTTGCTCGGTAGTTCTATTGTATTTTTTTCTGCTAGGAGAAATGAATAGAGTAAAATAAACAAATCTTTTTCAAAAATGCTTTAATTGATCCAAACAGCAATGAAATAAAGAAAACACTCTGTAGATCTTATACTGGACCGTGGATTAATCGGAGAAGGGTCACAACAAACAATATTTACTTTTTTTACCTTGATTGTGCTTCTCCTTGCCGTGTGTGCTGAAGACAAAGCTAAATGTGGACACTTCTTAGTTTCATTTCATTTAACTTACTGTCATTTTTACTTGTTTCCTATCTGGTCATTTGTTCTGATCATCGCTTCCCATAAATTAATTAAGAAAGGATTTGATTGTACCAGCAGATAAAATCCATGGTGCAAATTGGCATTCGTTGTGTGTGTTCCAGTGTGACTAATAAGGATTATTATTATTATTAATTTGGTTTTTAACACTGCAAAAGCAGTCCCTGTCAGCAGTTTCCTGTGAGTTGCAGCTGGGCAGGTTCTGATGCTGCTGAGCTGGCCAAAAGTTTTCTCTTCCTTGAAAACTTGCGTAGGCTTGAGCAAACTTTGACCCTGACGTGCTGTGCTGATCCTCATTCACTGGAAAATGAACATTTGTGGCCTCAGTGCTGTATTTGAAGGTCATTCATTCTCATCTGGTGTTAATGCATGCACATGTTAAGTCTTTGGGTTTTCGTTTAACAGAGCAAGTAAGAGTGAATTTCCTTCTGTTTATGTTGGTATGCAGTAGATTTCATTTCAGTTGTGGTATTGGAAAGAAATGTTTGCTATTTTCAGGGCTGAATAGGTATTTTTCTAGACAAAAATTACAGCAGTAAAATGGTCTGAAAGGTTGGTGCATTTACAATGTATTTTAGTTTTACAGATTGCCGTTAATTGAATTTTAAGCTAAAATAGGAGGAAAAACCCCAATGGTCTAAATTTTTTCCGTTTTTATTCTGTGATTTAATAATTTGCGTTGCTTAAAAATATGTTGTGGGGTTTTTTTTTTTGTCTTCAAGATATATTGTGCAGTGCGAAGAGGCTGAAATTGCTCATGCAGCCACTGAGCTCCATCCACGTGAGAACAGAGGCGCTGGCCCTGACCAAGCTGGAGGTCTGGTGGTATTTGCTCATGAGGCTGGGACCTCAGCTGCCTGCAAACTTTGAACAGGTAACACAGCTTAAAATAGTCATGGGATAACCACTTAAGCCTCTGTTGAGTGCTTGGGACTATACGTGCAATATCTTTAAAGCTCCAGAATATTTAAGGGCCTATCTGTTTGTCATGTGAGCATCTCAGTGCAAATCTTCAGTGAGTGCACAGCAATAGTAAACATGAGCACTTTATATATATATTTTATATATGTAGCACTTTTATATATAGGCACTGCTCTGTCCCACCACTGTGCAAGGCTATGCTTTGGAAAGTTTGCCATGGGAGCTTTGTATCTGGAACAAACATGATGTTTCTGTTAGGCTTCTGAATTTCATTAAGTTCAGGAGTAAAGAAAAACAGATGCCTCTTTTCAGATACGGTCCAGCTGTATTATTCTAACATGAGTTTTTGTTTAATCCAGCCGTTTCTAATTCATGTATCAGAACAGATATTTTATACAGCATCTTAAAAATACTGATACAAGTACCCAGAAACTGGCACACTGATGCTGTGAACAGCAGAGCAGTCTGTGGCATGTGAAACATCTGATTCTTCATGGCGTGTGTGTGCTGTGCTTGTTGTCACCGAGGCGTGATGTCTTTGCAGGTCTGTGTCCCGTTAATCCAGAGTACTCTGCGTGCAAATTCTGCTGCCTTGCAAGGAACTCCCTCACGTTCGTCCGCCAACCAAAGTTTAGTCTCGGTGACCCCCACGCAGAAATCAGGTACTGAAGTCCAAGCCTGTTTCCAGCTGTACTCCTGATGCAGAAAGTAGTGTATTCTATTTAATGTGTTCATGCTTTTTCACTTGCAAGGTACTGTTACTGAAACCAGTCATTTTTCTGCACGTTCATTGGAGAGCTCAGAGGTAGTGCTTTACATTGGTTAAAATCAGACTGTTCTAGTCAGTATTTCAAGTTTACAGAATTGTGCTGATCAAATTGTGTGGAGAAGCAGTTTTAATGTCCTGGATTGTCTTCTCTTTTCCACTGGAGCTTTGGTTTGAAACTAATTTTCTCATATATTCATATGCGTGCTCTCTATAAATGCCATCTCCTTTCTAAAGCATTTTTAGTTTCTGCCTGAATAGTAACCCAGTGATCACAATACATAGATAATTTTGGTACTTTAAATAGATGTGAAATTCACACCTACACATCTAAGTGCCTGAGCTGAGGAACTGGAAATCCTAGCACTCACAGCATGTGTAATTCTAGACCTCTGTCATTAGAAGCCTCAGGTACGCTGTGGATGTGTCCTGGATAGGTAGATCTTCCTTTGTTCCTTGTTTTGTTTTTAAAAGTTTATCTTAGTTCTGTGAGATCATAACTGAGGTTGGTCAAAATGCTTTGGACATGAGACCTTTTCAGCCTGTGTTCAGTGTCAGAGCTTCTGGTGGAAACGTAACTTGCTCTGTGACTGCAACTTCCATGGAGACTTTGGTTGCCAAAACAGTTTAGTGTCTGAGATTTTGCAGTCTTGGGATGATATTTATACTTTGAAAACACACGGTTATAACGTTGATGTTAAACCCTACTTAACAAGAGTGCATGCCACATACCTGTCTGGCTCTTAAAGGTCCCTTTTAGCCAGCGCTACTCTATGATTTGTTCTTCTTACGTTAACTTTGGGATTTGGGTCTGTCGGATCTTTCCTTTTAGGCAAAATATCGTCACATTGTCATACCCTAATGTAACTTCTCTCCCCTCACGTAGGTGCTTACCCGTTTGCCAGTCCTGTCACACCAAGGATGAGCTTGAATTCCAGTACAGCAGCAATGGTGGCGATTCCTTCCATTCAGCTCCTGGGGATTGAAATGCTGCTTCACTTCATGATGGGACCAGAAGTTGTAGAATTTGCCAAGCAAAACACAGTTGCACTTAATTTAGGTATATAGTTGTATATGTCTTTTAAATACTTTCACATAATAAGAAATGGCCAATTTTGTTGGGTTTAAAGATGTGTATTAGCATGAAATGCTTTAAACACTTAGAACTGTTAGAATCTTTAATATTAGAAGTTGTTTTTATGTTAAATGCTGTAAGTACACGCATATACTTTATTATTTTTAAGGCTTATATTACCAGTAGACACCAAATAAGATTTACAAAGCATGTTTTTTTTGTTCTCCTAGAGCCTCTCCAGTACCCACTGATCAGTAGCCCTTCTTTTTTTTGTAAGCATGCCAACACGCTTATAAAGGCCGTTCAGGATGGCTTCATTGTAATTGGAAAAGAAGTTCCTGGTAAGAATTTAGTAGTAAAATTTGACTTTTTTTCTGGAAAATAAAGTAGGGGAGGGAGGTAACCACTTTCTGTGATATTTGGTGTTGATGTGAAAGAAAGGGGTCTGGCTTGGTTTGAAAGCTCTTGTCCGTTTTGATTTACATCAGTCTGTTGTTTAACACAGTTTGTATTTTAACTGCAATTCTGCTTAACGTTTTTATTACAAACTGAGTAAAAAATGCTGTGCTGTCTTGTAGAGTTTACTCTGAATGTTATATGGAAGGACATAAATGGAAACGTAAAAACAGCTATTGAATCAGGTAAGAAATGTCATCCTGTTATTTGTCGTTGCTGACCAGTTAGTCTTGATTTTTAAGACTAGATCTTTGCTTAAGTGCTGGTAAAACGGGTTTAGGCATCATCAGTAGTTGGTTTTGAAGCAACAACTGGTGTTTTCCTTATGCTGTATCTTGTTTTCCTGTATCTTTGTGTGACAAATACACATCCATGCTCATCCAGTGGGGCTTGCTAGGGAAGGCCCAGCAGCCTGTGACTGGGGGTGTACTGCTTGCAGCAGTAAGACACGAGCTTGGCGATACCAGAGGCTCGGTATCCAAACCTATGAAGTATTTGGTATATATTTATAAGTATGCACAGAATTTTTTGGTCTTACAGTACCTTATGTTTTAAACGATGGTCAGGGTGACCATTACTTTCTGCTCTAACTGTAACTGTGCTTTGTTCTAGGAAATAAGAAAGAAAAGCAAGGGTCAGAAATACTCACTACGTTGCTTCAGGCCTTAAAAAACATTGTTAGATCAAATGCTCTTTCTGTGCAGAAAATACTGGTAAGTTGGGTGGCTTTGTCTGGTTTTTAAATCTGATTCCTTTTTGATGCTCTGGGTTCTGATTGGTTGCAGCTTTTTGTGTCTCACTTCTCAAAATGGTCCCTGTTAAACAACTTCACGTGTGAACTGTGAAGTTACACAGTTCACATCGGGTGGCATAGGCTTGCATGAGGGTTTCTTTCTTTATTTGCATAAAGTGTTTATTTACATGCATATATTTTTTTCTATTTCCCTTACTTAGTCCCTCATCGATATTACTGTTCAGGAATTGCCTCCAAAAGTATTGGGATCACCAGCTTATCAGGTTGCTGACATGGATCTTTTAAATGTAAGTCTGACTTCAGCCAGAACTTTGTCTTTATTTATGCTGAATTAGGATTTGCCTAAATGTACACTTCATAAGTCATTAGCTCCAGATCTTTCAGGAGACCATAGTCTGTGTTCCAGGATGCAGACTTTGTTGCCAGCCATCCCTTCTGATCAGTCATTTAACCATCTGTAGCCGAAAAGGGCTATGTTGAAAGGAATAAAGAGACTTTCTCACGTTCAGGCCATGATGTAAAACAAAGATTGCAGGTACATTGTGAGGAGACTGCATGGCCAAACTGTGTGGGACTACTGAAGTACCGAAAACTGATGTTTTGGAGAAATGCTCTGAGGTCAACAGAGGGAAGTACTTTTAAAGAAAGGTAGAAAGTGTTATTGCTCAGGAGAAGTCAAATGATTGACTTGTGTGCCATTGTTAGTCTGAGAGTCCACAGAATTCATTTGGAGGCTTTTAAAAACAAATACCTGTGAGAAAAGACACAAGCATAATAGAGTAAGCCAATGCTTCTACTCAAGTGAGTAGTGTGAAACCTTGTCTACCAGAACTGGCCTAAGAGCTCAGCTCTTCCAAATTCCTCCCAGCTTTTTTTCCCCTGAGTGTTTCATTGACATTTGGAGGCTCTTTCTAACTCGGGTACAAGAGTCAGAGCTTAATTAAAGCTTCAGCCGCCTTAATAGGCAGGTATTAAATGCTTTAATGTTAGCAAACCTGAAATACCTGTGGCAGGTTTTAACAGAGCTTGTCCAAAAGATGTCTTGCTGAAATAAGCAGATCCCAGTTGCTCCGTCTTGTTCCAGGTATGGCAACGCGCACTGATTGAGTCATGGACAATTAGGGATCTGCACCAGGATGCAGCAGAAGCTTGGGTTTCCAGCTTTGCTCCTCATTTTTATTTGGAAGCGTTAGGATTGACAACTTTTAATAGTTGTGAATGTCTGGCTGATAGTTAAATGCAGTATACAGACACATGAGCGAGGCAGCCGTTTAACTTGATCAGTGTGTGTGCTGTTTTGACCCCTTACATTTCTCTTCCCAGGGAACGCCAGCTTTGTTCTTAATTCAGCTGCCTTTCCATAACAACCTCCTGGAGTCCTGCGTAACGGATGAGAGGTGCGTGGTGCTGTTTGGTTATCACGAGCTTCCCACGGATCAAGGCTTTATAGAAGTTTTTCCTAACTTCAGCTGGAAAACCTATCTGACCTGTTTAACTTTCCTCCCTAGGTTCTTCCTGATGCTGGAAAAGCTCGTGGGTTACGTTTTGTCTGGGCCCTCATCCCCGCTGGCTTTCAGTGAATCTGTGATCGTCATTATTAATCAGAACGCAAAGGAAGTGGAAAACAAGGAGCATCTTTGGAGAATGTGGAGTATTGTTGTTAATCCCCTAACCGAATGGATTAACAAGGTATAGTGGATTTTGTTTGTTGTTCTCTTCCCCTTCCCCATCCAAATAAAAAAACATGGGGCAACTTTGTGCTGATCTTCTGTCCAGTCCATGGGAATGGTCACTCCAAACTGCAGTGCCCACCTGGGAATGCTTTTCTCCTTTTTTAAGATTATAAACACGTTTGTAGATGTGCCTCAGGCCTTCATGGCTCAGCGTAGTCTTGCTGCTATGAAGGATGGAAACTCATCCTTCAGGACCTCTTAACTTTTAAATAATAACAGTATTTGTTTGTTGTATTTTCACATAAAGCAAATACTGAGTTGTGACATTTGGGACGAAATCAGAACAGTGTTTCTTGCTCATGTTAGACTTCTCAGTAGGAAACCCTAATAAAAGCCATAGGAAGTCCAATACCCGCCAGGTTCTGCAGACTACAAGTACACTGACTGTAACGTGGGCCTTGTTGAACTGACCCTCACATAGTCATTAGATGTAAAAATCTTAGAATTTGTGAAGAAAACTTTAGGTGCTTTAAGTAAGTTACTGTAGTGACTGCTACTAAGGTAAAAAAGAATAAAAAAACCAACCAAGCAAGCAAAAAATAAACCATCAGACATGCTAAGTGATCGTTTTTATTCCTGGAATGAAATTATTTTAGAATTAAGAAACAGTGCTTTTTTTATTTCCCTGAAGAGTAGGATCAGCTTGAACTGTTGAAAGAACTGAGAATGGCTGATTTCAGAATGCCACCGGCAGTTTAGCTTGCACGGATTTTATGTGTGAAATAAATGTATTTAGAGCAGCTTTATTTGCCATTTAAATTTTGCAGCTTCCGGCTTCCTTAACTGAAAGTTGCCTTCTCATTGCAGACGAACGAAGTGAACCAGGGTGATGCGCTGGAGCACAACTTCAGCGCTGTGTACAGCACGCTGATGCTGCCGGTGACGCACATCTTCCCCGTCAAGGACTTTCCACAGGTAACGGCGAACACTGATCAGAAACAACGTGGGGTTTATAAAAACTATGAGGTAGATTAAATTACCGATACATATACATAGATACATCTATAGCTATCTATCTATCATATATATTGGACTACTGCTCCAGGGTTGGATTCGTTGAGTTACGTAGGGTTTGACAAGAAGAAAAGTTAAAGCAAGCTTTTATTTCTGTGCACAAACACTGATGTTTACAAACCTTTCCTTTCTCTTGTTAAAGCCAACCATGAAATCCCTGCTGAGCGCTTGGTCAGACCTGTACAGAGCGTTTGCTCGCTGTGCTGCTTTGGTTGCAACAGCGGAAGAAAACCTGTGCTGTGAAGAGCTCTGTGCCAAAATAGTATCTGGGCTAGAAGGTGAAACTCCAGTAGTGAGTATAAACCTGTGATACTGAATATTAAAATACTTCAGCAGGTATAATTTAAAATTAAATAAGAACCTATTGTACAGCTTAATGTAATACTTGCTGTAACTTAAGTGTCTTGGGTGAGACATAGTAAAATCAACTTTGTTATAGCTTTATTTAACAGGAGTTGAAGTTGATCTAGAAATGGATTGAAAGAAGAGGGTAAAATTAATTATGAAGCTTAAATATTAAAATAGCAGTCAAACAGTCCTTGGATTTGTCTTCTAGCTGTTTAATGCTGGTTCAGTGAATGTTATCATGGTAAATAAGATTTGTCTGGTTGAAATGTGTGTGTATGTGTAAAGTACCTTCAGGTTGGATTAACAAACACCACAAAACCAGGTGTTTTGGTTAGGAAGGAGGGCAGAGGAGCACTGCAGCATTCAGGGGGGCATAACTCGCTCTAATTCTGGTACTGCAAACCTTGCACAAGAAAATGTGAAGACCTTCCTATTTTATGAGGCTCTAGAAGTAAATCCTGACGTTTTCTGTCTTGCCTGTTTGCCAGCCCACATATGGAGAGGTGGGGTCTGTAGGTGTCAGTGAACACTGGCTTTGGACCATCTGATCCTTGGTGCTTCAGAGTTGAGTTGTTTGGAAAATTAGAGAAATAAGTTAGAAACAGATTAGAAAGACAAATGGAATGTGAAAGCAGGGAAACTGGAGGATTACCTCATTGTAACTAACTTTGGATGCTGCTGTATCCTGGTGATAAGCTTCAGTTTTCAAACTTAATAACTGGTGAGCCAAACCATTTGGAGCTTCAGCGTGTGAGTTCTGTTGAAACCTAATTTTTCTCTTGGCCCACAGTATCAATGTCCCTTTTAAAAACAAGGTTTGGGTTTTTATTTAGAAGACTTTGTGATTAAGAGGTTGATGTTTTTGTCTGTATGAGAAATTGGTTGTGCTTCCTGAACGGTAATGACAATTTATTGTTATTTCTATGGTGACTTTTCTGGAAATGAGGGTTTGTGCAGTAACAGGAGTTAAGCACACACGGCCATTGGTAACTCAGTTTGTTACACAGCAAGTACCCTGAACCTTAAAACTTCTGATGCATCTTAGATCCAGCACCTTCTTACAGCTGCTGTTACTGTTTTCCTTCTTTAGATTGTAAATGTGCTGAAGTCTTGTTTGCATAGAATAGGACAACTTCAGCTTGTGTAAATGCATCTCTTTATGGCAGTCTTACCTGATAAAGCAGACCAGTTTCATCCCCTTTTCAATGTAAAAGCAGTTTGTGTCGCTGTCCTGAGTGCCCAGTGTGTTTGTTTTACTGTCGCTGCTGGGGTTTTTGGGCTTTGCTGATGTCTTCTGCTTCCTCCTCAGATGCTGTCGATGCTGGGCAGTCTCACCCATGTCCTGTCCGTTATGGTTGACTGCATCAACTTTGCACCCTATGGTACCAAATATCAGCCCAAAACCAAACGTAAGAAAATCCTTGAGTACTGGGCGGTAGGGGTTTGCATCCTTCTTCCAGACTTGGTTGAAGATTAGGGCTCTAGATGCAGAGGTGATGACATCCAAACACCGAAGGGATTGACCGAAAAATTGTAAAAGGGAACCAAAAATATCCAATATGCAGATTATAATGCATATATTTATCTTTTCTGTTGGTCAGGCTATACAGTAATTACTCAACAAAATACCTCTGAAATGGATGTAAATGTTGAGGCCGCTTTTTGGTTCACTGTAAAACCCTGCTTGTTTCTGAATTTACATTTGATATTTTGGCTCTGATTTCATCTTTGCATGTGAAAGTGCATTAAAAATGTGTATCTTCTGTTACCTCAAGCTTTTTTTATATAGCTATATTTTGGGAATCAAAGCTGTTTCTCATGTAGACAGGAAGTTCAGATGTGTTGAGTTGTAGGAAAAACTGTAATTTCTCTTTGTTTTAACGTTAGCTCCACAGACACCAACAGATTGGTCCAAGAAAAAAAAGGAGCCCCTAGGAAAGCTTGCGTCTCTGTTTAAACTCCTGGTGATGTTACTAAACTCCTTCCATGTGTTCAGTTCCGACGAAATCTGTTCAGAAACATTGGTCTCTGTCGGTCCTTCAGTTCTCGCTGTTCTCCACAACATCATCAGCCACATTTCATTGCCTTCAGTGATTGGGACCATGTTTGCAATATTTTCAAAACCCCTGGCAGTGTTTTATGAGAAAACAAAGTGAGTATTTGAAGGGCGGGTGGCAAACGGGATTTGTTGTGTTGTTGCATATGGGTCAAGTGTCATGTGGTCTGTAGCGAGCGGTGAATTTAAACGTAGCTCAGGGCTTCTCAAAGCTTTGGCACGAATACACTCTCAATTTTCAGTGTCTCTCACCTTTTGGGAGCACCGTGAATTTTGCCGGGTTCATCCAGCCTCGTCAGTGCTGGGTTTGTACAACACAGCAAAAAGAAGAGGTGTGTAAGGCAGGATGTCGTTAATAAATAACAACAGTGTTTTTTTTAGAGCGTAACGCTTTGTAGGAAACAAGAAATCATAATTAGTTGAAGTGCACTAAAATCCTGTAAGTTTTGGAGCAGAGGGAAGTACTTGGAGATACTTGTTTGTTGCTGTGAGCTTTATTTGTCACACGTGGCTTTGCTTTTTAATTAAGTTTACCTGTAGGCTTCTCTTCCCAGGACGTGATGGGGTCATCAGGGGGTGGTGGGAGGGGGCTGGCAGAGACTTGTCTGCAGTTTGTTGGTGATGGAAGAGAAGAGCCCTTTGCTCAGGATACGGAGAAGGAACAGATGTGGGAGGAGGTGGGGAGGTCAGGATGCTGCCCGTCAGCCCATCAATGTTTTCGTGAAGCTTTTACTGAAACTGAAAGCAGAACTGATCTCAAATCCCTCAGGAGTCCCTGTCTGAGGCAAGGATCCACTTGTTCCTGTGTCAGGTCGAGTTGAACGCCACCGCTCTCCATCTCCCGTCTCATTGCCTTTGAGCGCTGTTTTCCTCAGAATCAGTCATTAAAAGAGAGAAGCGAGGGTTGGATATTTATATTTTTAAAGGCAGGTACATGCAGCAAGTACAAGGCTGGGAACCTCTTCAGGTTGGAGGTTACGGGCTGGTAAAAAGCATTGCTAAAAGCAGATTTCTCACATTTGCAGGGATTTATTTACATGAAGTGACTTAGTTTACGTGACACTTCAGTACCAAATGCTCTTTAATGCAGTTATTTATGGGACCTGAGAAATCTGTTTGGGGAGAGGGTTAAGAGCAGCACAAATAAGGCAGCTAGAAGTTTCTTTGTTAGAAAACCTTTAATTCTAAGTTTGTACCAATTACTGCTGGTCTTTCCATTAGTTTCTCTTTAAAATTAGCATGTAACTGTCTGGGGGTTAAAGGACAGGCTTACTTGACACTTTTTACCTCAGGAAATCTTTTAATGGCCCTGTGGGAGGCAACTTCCACACCACTTGGTTCAGTTAAAACGAGTGTGCGGCGCTCGAGTGCGTCGTGTGTTGGATTTCTTACGCTTGGGATAAACGAGAGAGCAAAGTGTAACTTGTTTGTTTGTTTTGGCAGGCTTGATGATGTGCCTGAAGTGTACAGTAATCTTAACAACAAGGTAAATTTGCTAGAGAAATAGCTGGGGCTTGGGAAGATGTGTGCTGCTGCCATTCATCCTGTATGCTTAAAAAACAATTGTAATGAAGGTAGAGATTTAACTTTTAAACTGTTTTTTTACTGAAAAGGTAGCTGAGAGGAGAACCACTAAGTGTAGCTGTTAGACTCTGCTGTGGCATTTAAACTTATTCAGGGCATGCTGTTCTACGGGATACTAATGCTTTAAACTGAACTAGTGAAGATGTGCAATATTTGAATTTAAATAAAAACCTTATTGCTTCTTCCCTCCCTCAGCTTGAAAAGCTGCTGGCCGAGATGATGCAGTGCTTGCAGGCCCACTGCATGGGCTCTTACGACAGCGACCTCCTGGAGCAGCTGGCGCCTCTGCTCTGCGCGGTGTTCCAGCACAAGAGCAAACAGATCTGCAACCAGGGCGCCCAGTTCTGGAACACCACGTTCGCCAAGACCCCGTCACTGACTTACCCCGAGGAGTTAAAGTAAGAAACATTTTATAGGGATTTTTAGATATGTAGATACATGCACGCACACATGAGCCAGCAATGTGCCCTTGAGCCAAGAAGGCCAACGCCATCCTGGGCTGGATGAGAAGGGGTGGTTGTAGGGCAGAGAGGTTCTCCTGCCCCTCTGCTCTGCCCTGCTCACACCACAGCTGCAATCTTGTGTCCAGTGCTGGGCCCTCAGCTCCAGAAGGACAGGAACTGCTTGAAAGAGTCCAGCAGGGCCACAGAGATGAGATGCTGGAGGGAGTGGAGCATCTCCTGCTGAGGAGCGCCTGAGGGAGCTGGGGCTCTGGAGCTTGGAGCAGAGGAGCCTGAGGGGTGCCCTCATTCCTGGGGATCCATTGGGAAAGGGCAGTGTCAGGAGGAAGGAGCCAGGCTCTGCTCTGGGATGGCCAATGCCAGCACAAGGGGCAATGGTCCCAAGCTGGAGCACAGGAGGTTCAAGCTGAAGATGAGGCCAAAGTTTGTGAGTGTGAGGGTTCTGGAGCATGGCCCAGGCTGCCCAGAGAGGTTGTGGAGTCTCCTTGTGTGGAGACACCCAAAGCCCTGGCCGTGTTCCTGTGTGACTGCTCTGGTGCTCCTGCTCTGGCAGGGGTTGCACTGGGGGAGCTTTCCAGGGCCCTTCCAACTCCTCATATTCTATGATATATATACATATACACACACACGTATCTTTTTAAAGGACGAGATCTCAAGTTCTGTACAAATAAATTGGTAGTGTTCCAGTTACCGTTTATATTCTGCTTTTTGTGCAAGCTGAGATATCTCCTTATCCAACCCCTCCAGAAGTTTAAATTTCTCTGTTGTTGAGCAGATCTGTGTTAAGCCAAGCCAAAAAGAAAATCCCACTCCTGCTGCCTGGGTTTGAAAGCATCGAGATAACCGAAGAGTACAGCGGCCCCTTCTCTGACACGGTAAATATTTTGTTGCCCCAGTGGGAGCTTTATGGGAGCTGTGCAGAAGGGAGTGGTGTGGTCAGTTTTGGTATTGATTTGCACTTGCTTGATGTTTAGAATGATAAATTGGTTCAGTTAATCAACAGTTACACATTTTAAATAGCAATTTATGCACTTGAAATTTAGGTTTTTATTGGCTTGTTTGAAATCATTCTTTTTCTGAGTTGTCCTGTATGTAACTTGGAGGAAAATGGGAGTGTGGGTCAGTTCAGTTGTAGACATGAACACATCTCAGGATGGATTTGAGAGCTCAGTTTCTGCATGCAGTGCATTCAGTGTGTTTGTATTTGAATAGATGGAAAATTCACAGCTGGATGCAAGGATCAGTGGAATGCAAGTGAACTTGGGTCAAAAATGCGACTCTATCTTGGCAAAGATAAATGAAGTAAAAGACAAGCCCGGTAATGTGCAAGTACCATCTGCAAAGGTAAGGGCCCACCGATTGAAATCCTTTGTGTCCTGCTGGAAATCCTCAGGAGAAATTAATGTGTTTTGTGATGCTGAAATATTTATCTTTCAAGTGTGTGCTGTTGCAGAATCTCCCCTAGTCCAGAGTTGGGGAGGGAAAAATCACTCGTGAATAACCCCACGGACGCTACAGGCTTGGGGACGAGTGGCTGGAAAGGACCTGGGGTGTTGGTGGCAGCAATGCCCATGAGCAGCAATGTGCCCTTGAGCCAAGAAGGCCAACGCCATCCTGGGCTGGATGAGAAGGGGTGGTTGTAGGGCAGAGAGGTTCTCCTGCCTCTCTGCTCTGCCCTGCTCACACCACAGCTGCAATCTTGTGTCCAGTGCTGGGCCCTCAGCTCCAGAAGGACAGGAACTGCTTGAAAGAGTCCAGCAGGGCCACAGAGATGAGATGCTGGAGGGAGTGGAGCATCTCCCGCTGAGGAGCGGCTGAGGGAGCTGGGGCTCTTGAGCTTGGAGCAGAGGAGACTGAGGGGTGCCCTCATTCCTGGGGATCCATTGGGAAAGGGCAGTGTCAGGAGGAAGGAGCCAGGCTCTGCTGTGGGATGTCCAGTGCCAGGACAAGGGGCAATGGTCCCAAGCTGGAGCACAGGAGGCTCAAGCTGAAGATGAGGCCAAAGTTTGTGAGTGTGAGGGTTCTGGAGCATGGCCCAGGCTGCCCAGAGAGGTTGTGGAGTCTCCTTGTGTGGAGACACCCAAAGCCCTGGCCGTGTTCCTGTGTGACTGCTCTGGTGCTCCTGCTCTGGCAGGGGTTGCACTGGTCCCTTTCCAGGTCCCTTCCAACTTCTGACATGCTGGGATTCTGTGAAACTTTGCATCTCCTGAGGGGTTGATGCAAATTAATGCTTGGAAAATGCAGTTTTTTGAGAACTGTTCTGATGGCTGCACCTGAACTATGAAAATGCTTCTGGTTCCTCTGTTTTGTTTCTAATCCTCTTTTTTTTTTTTGTAGTTGAAACTGGATTTTCCATCTTTGAACTTTAAAAGCGAGGTCCTTCTGGAAGAGGAGAAATCTGCTGATTTTGTGTTTATTCCTCCAGAAACAAAAGCACGAATATTGACAGAGCATCAGAAAGAAGTGCTGAGGTCAAAGAGGTCTGTGATTTATTGTTTTAAACTTCACGTGACTGTGTTGACTGACACAACTTCAATTCCTGTATCTCAGACCACTGTAGTTAAATCTTATTCCTCCACACAAGCTGTAAAGGTTAAAGCTCACCAAGTTCCTTGCTTTACTGTTTTAAAGCAACCAGATTATTCTGACCTGCGTTTCCTGTTTTGATTTAATATACTGTTACCTGTTAGGAGTTTGGTAACTGGGAGTTTGTTTTCACTTCATGCCTCTCACCTGCAATGTGAAATGGAAGAGGTCATTTTTCTGAAATCATTGAAATGAAAGGGTTTTCTTACCTGATCTGAAGGAAAGTTGCTAAATTTGAAGAGGAAATCTTATGTCAGCAGTGTATCAGAAATAAGGATGTTCCCAAGACTTGCCTTAATTGCAAGGCAGTATTTAGAGTTATCTGCTTTTTCATGTGAGAAAACCAAATATTCGAGTGTTTTCTGTACTCAGGCAGCAAAAGTGCAGTGTCAGCAAAATGTACATACAGTGGTGCTTGACAGGAGCTCAGTCTGATCATATCCATATGGTCTATATCTAAATCTAGATATAAAGGCATGTAATCATAGCTGCCTGGGTGCGTGTTGGGGTTTGAGTGCTCTTGAGAGTTTGGGAGTTCAGTGCACTCCATACCAGTATCCGCTGTCTTGTGATGAATGCATTGCGCTGCCCTATCCTGCTTTTATTTTTCCTAAAAGGAGTCCAACTTGCCATTCCTGGGTTTGTTTCAGGGATGGTATTCCTGCTATGTACAACAACTTGGACACATCGCAAGATACCACCTTGTTTTCTCAGTACACTCAAAGCCAGGAAGACTCTTTGTAAGTAAAGGTGGTTGGTCTATTATATATGTGTGTATATATTATATATGTGTGTATATATTATATATGTGTGTATATATTATATATGTGTGTATATATTATATATGTGTGTATATATTTTATATATTCCCAGGTGATGGAGGATAGAACAAGGGGAAACGGCACCAAGCTGTGCCAAGGGAGGTTCAGGTCAGAGATAAGGAGGAAGTTCTGTACTGAGAGGGTCGTCAGAAGCTGGACCAGGCTGCCCAGGGAGGTGGTGGAGTCACCATCCCTGGATGTGTTTAAAGAGCGGGTAGATGAGGTACTTAAGGATATGGTTTAGTGGGTAGACAGGAACGGTTGGACGTGATGATCTCAGAGGGCTTTTCCAACCGAGCGATTCTGTGATTCTGTGATATATTATATGTGTGTATATATTATATATTATATGTGTGTATATGTTTTATATATATATATTTTTTTTTTAAAATGTGTCCCTCTTTTCTGCAACACTTCTAATTGAAGTTCCTCCTATTTTAGGGAACAATCACCTCTACTAGAAAATGCAAGAGAAGATACTGAAAACAAGCCTCAGGTAATTCCTCATTTCTAAGCGTGCCAGTGATGTTTTCTTCGTGTGGTAATTAATGGCAAAACTCTGATAACTCAGTCAGCATTTTGACTTCATTTCAAAGTGGGAGGATTTACTTAATTTTAGTGAGGATGATTTAAGTTTTGTTACCCAGCTGCAGGTATCGTAGGGACTTACAGATCTGTCCCGTGTATACACTACCATTGACAAATGTTTTATTGGGATAACAGTACCCAAAAGCCGTGGCAGGGACTTGCTGTGGTGCTGTTCTGGGAGCTGCTGAGCTGCCTGGCTGTGTCAGGAGTCGTGCCACACTTCTCTCTCGTGACCCCTCTGTTTTCCCCCAGCAGATGCATTTGGCGAACTGCTTTCACTTGTAGAGTCTCACTGGTGATTTCGAGCTTGCCCTAATTGGAGCGTGCTTTTAAACTGTGTTTCCACGTTCTGAACTGCTTTTGGATGAAGCTGTAAGGGCTTTAGGGGAATAAACAGGAGATTTTTGGGAAGAAAACCATAATTGTAAATCCTGAATGCAGATCTGTTCCCTTTTGGCGAGGAGCTGGGTGAACAGCTAGCTCCATCAGCAACAGGCAGTAGGTACAGCGCAGTAGATTTGGCACAAAAACTTGTTTTACTGCTAGGTTTAGTTAAGTTCTCTTGCAAAATGTAGAGTTTTAATGTAGTATGTTTTAATTTTGTATTCATTGCAAAACTACAATTCTTTGATGTTTGTGTTTTTGGGACAGGAAGAAAATATAAAGAGTGAGGAAAGCAGCAGTGAACCAGATGGACCCACAGAGGACTGCAAATCAGATCATCCTCCTGAGGATACTCCCTGTGTGAGGACGTCGTCTGCCTTCACAGAGGAGAGCTCAGCATTAAACAGCGAGGGGGAGTCAAAAAGCGATACAGCCGAAATAATCCAGGAGGAGCCCACAGTTGGCACGGGGTCAGAAAAAAGTCCAATGGGAACAGCTTCGGATGAGCCCTTGGCGGGGAATGAAAACACCTCCAACGTCAGCAACAGCTCGACTTCCAGCGACGTTATTTCGGGCACGCCGCAGCCTGTCAGCCGGCGCCAGTCCTTTATCACTTTGGAGAAATTTGGGAGTTCAGAGAGCCGACCCTTCGGCCTTTCAGTCTTGAACAGTTGGTCAGAGGCGCCTGGAAATGCTTCCATGACGGGCAAAGAGGAGAATACAAACGTAAGCAAGAGTTAAACCGGAGAAATCCGGAGAAGAAAACAAAAAGCCTTCGAAGTCTGACTCTGAGCAAATATTCACCGCAATCCGGAGGCTGACGCGCAGACAGAGTAAAATGGAGCACCAAGGAAGCAGGCAGTCCAGGTGGGTAAACAGGTCAGAGCAGGAGAGAAGCGCACACGAGTCCTTCAACTCCAGCGGCGTGGAGCAGAGTCTTGAGGTGTCCTCCGGCACGCAAGACGTGGAGCAGGTTCTCCTTGCTCATTCCCAGGCTCTCCACTCTACGGAGGTGGAAATCGAAAAAGCTGAAGGTTTGATAGCAGAGCTAGAAAGCACCAAGGCAGCAGATACGGATTCAAAGGAAAATACACCCCCGGAGACGGCAGTGCCACCTGAGCAGGTCACGGGTGACGACAGCCAGGCCGCGCACGCGTCTCCTCAGCAGAAAGTACTGCGGCGTTCGTCGAGACGCCGCGCGGAGGCTGTCGACGGCTCGGCAGGTGGTCAAGATAGGGAAGATGGCCCCCAAAAGAGACAGAAAGAAGACGAAAAGGCTGGGCAAAAGAGGGTGCCGCAGACTAAAGATGTGTCCCAAAAGCACAAAGAGGTTTCTGGGAAAACCACAGAAAGTGCCAATAAGGAAAGTACCGAACCTGAGAGAAACGCCGCGGAGGACTTGAACTCCGAGTCCCTTGCGCCAGGCCCCGAGGAGGAAGCGAACAGAAGCACAAGGAGGTCAGAAGGTGCCGTGAGGGCTGACGTGGACGGTCAGGACGGCGGCTCGGACACCCTGGGTCAGAAGCAGGCTGAGCGCCCGCGGTACCACACGAGGAGAGCCTCGCAGGGATTGCTTTCCAGCATCGAAAATTCGGAGGCTGATGGCTCCGAGACCAAGTTGGAAAGCACACGGAGGAAAAGATGGGCAAAAGTGAAAAACAGAAGTGATCCTCTCGAAGATAAAGTGAAAGATGTGCAGCCAGGAAGCCATAGTCAAGAGGCGTCTTCCCAAGGAAGCCAAGATCAGAATCTGTTGGGAACAAATAAAGGTGAACCAGGCTGTGTGGCCAGCACAGGTCCTGTGTCGGCATCTGAAGTGCGTGACCTGAAAACCCAGGTGGCTCCTACGGATGCTGGCGAAGCTGTGGGATCTGCCAGCTCGGAGACCGCCCCTGGTGCGCAGAGCGCAGACGTGGAGCAAACCAAGAGCAGCGCATCGATGGAGTTGGTCACCAGCCCCTGTGCCTCTGGTCAAGAGCTGAAAGCAGCAGAGGAAGGTAAATGTGTTGAGAAGCAGAGAGAGGTGGAAGAGAGTTGTCCCCCTGTCGTGCCTGAGCATGTGCCAGCAGCCAGCGCTTCAGGTGGTGACGGTGACGTTTCCTCATTGCAAACACCCGAGTGTCAGCACAAAAGAAACAAAAGGGTGAAAAGATTAAGGAACTGTGACTGCTCTTGCAAAAAGCCAAAGCAGCAAGCGATGTCATTCACTGAAACCAAAAACGAGAGTGCCCGTGACCTCGAGCCCCGAATCACCCCGGTTCAGGTGTTGATAAATAGATCAGAGGTGTTCAGTAATTCAAATTTGGACCAGAGTTTGATCATGGCACCTTGTGCGATGAGCACTCCCCTGCTGCCTCCTAAGGAACCCGATGCAGTTAAGTTGGAAAGAGAGAGAGCATCTGGAGACAGCCTGCAGGGAAATGGTGCTGTGCTGGAGGAGGATGTAGCTCACCCAGAGCACGTAGCAGGAGGAACGGACAGCTCCATCATGGAAATAAGAGATGAGAGCAGCCAGCCCGAGCAGTGCCTGTCCGAGGGTGTTTCGGATGAGTCTGGTGACAGCTCTCTGGCTGCTGGGGACCAAAGCGAAGAGCCAGCAGCTGTGGAAAATGAAGAAGTGGGTCAGAATGGCCAACCCGAGGAGGGACAGGTCAATGAGCTGGAAAGCTGTCGGGATGATAAAGCAGCAGCTGAGGATGCTGCGGGAGAACCGTGCATTATTCAGGATACAGAGCTGCACGAGGAGGTGGTGGAGACTGAAACGACAGTGCCTGGAATTGTGGACAACGCGGTAGAAAACAACGACGTGAGTTCACCTCAAAAGCCAGAAGGTCAGGACTCCTTGGTGCTGGTTAATGACAGCCCTAACGGGGTGCAGGCTCGCTGCACCTGGTCTCCTTCAGCTTCTCCATCCACCAGCATTTTAAAGAGAGGTGTAAAAAGAAGTCAGGAGGACGACTCCCCGTCGCCTGCTAACAAGGTACAGCAATGGGTTCCCTCTGATACTCGATTCAGTTTGTAACTGGGGTAGGTGACAGTGCCTGTAGTGCAAGGAGTTCAGGTATGTTGACTTATCGACTGTGTTTTCATTGTAAATGATGGAGCTGCAGACTGAGGGGTTTCTTTCTGGAGGGTACAAGTGCTGACTTGCGCTGAGGGGGTTGGGGTGGGCAGCTTTGTACACGGTGCGCTGAATGTTTCCCTCAGCAATGAGGATGTGTAAAACATTACCTTAATCAGGACCTTTGATGACTTTGTTTCAAGCTGAGCTGTTCTGTCTCTTTGGGCTCACGTCACCAGCGCGTGGTGGTTTGAGCTCGTGCTACAGAAGCGCCCTCTCGTTAACGCAGATCCGTCGAGTGTCTTTCGCAAATCCCATTTATCAGGAAGGGCTGGCGGATGACATAGACAGGAGAAGTCCTGTCATCAGATCCCACTCCTCTTCGCCGTCTTCACGAAGTCTTAAAATCTTATCCAGCCTTCAGGTGAAGGTAAGCTCTGTCGCTGCTCTGTGTCTGAAGTGCTCGCGTTTCTCGGTTATCATATCTGGCGTTGCCTTGGTGCTCCTAAGAGCAGAGCTTGAGTGGAGGGAGTGGTTGTGACTGAGGTTTCGGGTTTGTTCTGGCCTGTTTGAAGACAGATGTTCTCTGAGGTGTAGCTAGTGAGAATCTTGCACTTTACTGAATGCCTGTGATCCTGAGAGATATTTTTTCCTCTTTTTCTATCCATCCAGCATATTACCACTCCAACCAAAGGATTTCTGTCCCCAGGATCTCGTAAACCTAAATTTAAGAGCTCAAAGAAGTGTTTAGTAAGAAGTGCTTTGGTTCATGTATCTCTTCTATTATTTTTTTTCCCTGTATTCAGTTGGGTGGCAGTTTAATTTAACAACTGTTCTGTGTCATTCAAGATCACAGAAATGACCAAGGAGCTGCTGCCCTCCCCGACAGTGTGTGTGTATCCTGCCCTGGCCGGCTGCAAGGCCCCGGTGGATGTCATTTTACCGCAGATTACATCAAATATATGGTAAGCGGGGTAAATGTGTTTTGGTTTTCCTTCACTCTCCTGCGTGCGAACTGGTATTGGTGTTTACTCTGGTATAATAAATAAATGGTTTTTCTTTCTCCCCGGCTGCAGCGCCAGAGGCCTGGGGCAGCTGATCCGAGCCAAGAACATCAAGACCGTGGGTGATCTGAGCACGCTGACAGCAGCAGAGATCAAAGCTCTTCCCATCCGCTCTCCCAAAGTTTCCAGTGTTAAAAAGGCGCTTAAAGGATACCACGAGCAACAGGTAACGTCTGATTTTAGCACTGCAAAAGCCAAGAGTAGCCTGATGAACTGCTGACATCCATCGTCAGGAGTCATGTGGTGGTTTCTCTCATTACAAGTAGCACTTTAGAGCAAAATCTGTCCAACTACCGTGGGAATTCAAGGTGCAGATGGCTTGGTTACAGTGTTATTAACAGGAATAATGATTGTACCTATTATGAGAGTTAAACGTGTCCCACTGTAATTTTATGTTTTTCCTCTGAAAATGCATTTCCTCTTCCCCAAAAATCCTTCAGGTAAAATCTCGAGGATCTGAGGAAACAGCAGCTCCTGAGGATGCAGAAAAGCCCGTCAGTAAGGTAGAGGATAAACCTCTGCCTGCAGATGAAGAAAAACTCGCAACAGGTACCTGCTGCCTGCTTTTCGTGCAGGGTTGGGGTGTTTAGCTGTGTTGCTTTCTCTTCTAATGGGATTGTTTGGGTTTTGGGGGTTTTTTGTTTCCAGCTAACAGTGGCTCATCAGATGGGTGACTGCGTCAGCCACTTTGCAAAGCCCTCTAGCAGTGGCTTTTGAAAGCTAGTCACATATTTTGAGGGAAAATGGTAGGTGAAGGGCAGGTGGTGGAGTGCCTCATCCTGAGGGGGCTGGGACAGGAGGGGACGTCTCCCTAATCGTGTTGGATCTGGGTGCCTGAGGTTGGATTGGAATTCTCGGGTGTGTTTGGGGAGTTTGACCCGATAGCTCAGAGGGATCCATGTCTGTGCTTCCTATGAGGTACCTGAAGCTCAGGGGTCACTTTTCAGCTGCCAACTGGCTTTTGGGACAACACATCTTGCAGGACACTGCTGGTATCTGAATAGGATCAAATCCTTCCGTTTCTGTCCCTGGTTTTATTGCACACTGATATCACAGAAGTCACCACAAGGAAAGGGAGCAGGGAGCTCTGAGCGCTGCCTCTGCCAGGAGCTCCTGTGAAACAAGGACATTATGGACCACTTGTGTGTTGCTTTGTCCCAAAGCAGCTGTGAGGTTCAGCTGCAGCCCAGCTCTGTTGCAGTGACACCCAGCCCCTGTCCTTCCTTTCAGACCTGCCCGAGCCGCTGGCCCCGCACGTGGAGGAGCAGCCGCTGCTGGACCTGCCCAGCCAGGTGGATGCGCTCGCCGCCCGGCTGAGCTCCGCAGACCTTCACTGCTTCTCGGGAGCCCAGCTCTTCGAGATGCAGGAAAAACTCGTGGGCATGACAAACTGTATCATGAAGAACCTGCAGTCCCGGTGGAGAGCGCTGCCCCATGAAAGTTCAGATTAGTTGTTACCACTTCTGAGTAAGATGAATTGCGTTTCTTTCTTTCTTTTTTTTTTTACAATAATTTTCCCCCAAACCTGCTTTTCTTACTGTTTGAATTATTCCTTAAACTGTGCATTTTTGTACTATGGAAGACTTTTTGTTTTTTAATACCTGTATGAGCAAAATGTGTCATGGTGGTTTTTCCTGGGGATGGTGTTTAGTTTGGGTTTGTTTTGTTTTAATTTCTGGGGTCACCTATCCCCTTTTTGGAGGTATTTGTGTTGCTATGCATATTTCTTTCAGGTAGCGAAAGAGAAACGTGATAAAGTTGTGCAATAGCAAAGACTGTGAAACCAAACCGACAGAGTAGGTAAATTATTTTTTCAGATCCGAAGTGTTCTTACTGCTGCAGACTGAGCTGGTGAGGGATGGATCCCAGCTCCCGCCGTGTTCCTCTTTGGCTGCTGCCCGCGGCTCTTTCCAGCGCTGTTTTACACTGGGATAACCTGGGCTTCACTCCCTGCAGCACCGGTCCAGGACCCTGGGATTGGACACCCGGCTGATGTCTATTTTTGTGTATTATTTTTGTAAGAATAGCACAAAGCAGCTGACACTGAAGTGCACCCTCCTGGCTGAAAGACTTTGCAAAACTTCTCCGGCTTTTCCCCATGTTTTTGTGTTTGCAGCAGTCCTTTGGCAAGAGCTTATTGTATATTATGTACAGATGTTGGTTAATAATTTATGAGGGAGTTGTTTTAATTGCATGAAATGCATTGTTGCTGCTCGGAGACCTTTGGAGAGAGTTCTCGGGTTTCACTCTGGCAATCCCATTTGTATATATTGTACTGTAGCTGTCAGAAAGGACCTTTATTGGGAGGAGTTGCTGCAGGTGGTTTTAGAACCTACACACGGGCAAATAAAACAGCACATAGTTCCCAAAATTGCTGATGGTGTTGTGGTTTGGTTTTGGGGTTTATTCTCTCTCACCCACAGCAGTTTGATGTCCATGGCCTCTATCGCCTCCTGCTTTCTTTCCCTGTCTGACAACACCAGTTTGGGGTGAGCCGATTCCTGCTCCTCAGCCTGAGTGAACACATCCAACTACCGCAGAAACTTCAGCTTTATTTAGTCTCTAATTTACAAGGAGTAACAGCTTTTGACCCCAGAACAGTTGCATGAAAAACACGTGCAGAAGAGCTCAGCAAGCAGGAGAGGCTTTTTGGGTTGGGCTGCCCCCAGCTAAATGGTTTGAGATTACACTTAAACATTGCTTATATGGAAAAGTGAATACGTTCAAACATTTTAGAGTAGCCTAGAAAAATACTCTCTTTATGGGAGAATGAAGAGCGTAAGACTGGGTAGTCTTAGGCTGAAGTACTCGTGTAGGATTTGAGATGCTGAACTGGATTGCAGTTCCAGCATAGTTAAAGAAATGTGAAATATCTGTTGGTTTTTTGACACTGGAAGAAATAAACCCTCAGGAGATTGCCTAGTACTGTGCTTACAGGTGGTTGAGAGGCTGTTTCAGGAGTTTTAACTCTGCAGTTACTTTTTTTAATTCTTTTTTTCCACATCCTGGTTCACAAGGCACCATCAGCACAGCAGACAAGAAGGCACTTGGGGAAGAAGCGTTACAAAGACTCATTGTAAGGCTTACAGGCTGAAGTGCCAGCGTGTCTGGCCGTGCAGATGGGCTTTATGGCCATCTTTTGGGTCAGACGGCTTCCACGTAGTTGGCCGGCAGCATCCCGGTCTTGCCGGTCCTCTGGACAGTGCCGTACATCCACCCTTCGTCTATGGCTTGCACGTTGACGATGGTGTCCCCGTCCTTGAAGGAAACCTCATCAGCGTCAGCAGCCATGTAGTCGTACATGGCCCGGTAGGTTTTCTGTTCGGTTTAAGAAAGGGGAAGGCAAAAAGAGACACATTTATACCCATGCTGTCAGCACTGCCGTGGGTGAGGAGCAAAATGTAAGAGCAGGCAAAGGGCAGGTTCTGTTTTGACTCCTTTAGTGCACTAACAGCAGCAGTGATGGCAGGACCTGCCTGCTCTTCTAAATCTGGTTCAGATCACAAAATGTCCCTTCTCAATAAGGACCTAGTGTGGAAGTTCAGGTTTTTGTCAGACTCCTAAGTTCATTTTCAGGTAGAAGCAGCCTCCTTGCTTCTGAGAGGGCCAAGGTTGGAGCCTGTGTGTGTTTAGCACCGCTGAAGCTGCACACAACCTTTTCAGAGGGTACTTGAGCAGTACCAGCTCCAGGTCCCCCCAGCCTTAACTCTAAGGTGTTGCCTCCCAGGAGATCTTGTGAGGAGGTGACACCATCCCCATTGCCATACAGCTCCACTAGGGCTAGATCCCTGGAGCAGGTTCATTTTACACTTCCAAGAGCAGATTTCCCCCTTCAGTGAACAACTTCACCTGATTTTGTAGGTGTTTCTGATTCACTCCTGGGTTAATGTCACCTGAAGCAGGAGGGGGACCACCCCATCAGCTACTGGGGCCCACCAGACATGCACAGCCACACATACAGCATGTGTGGGGTGCTGTGTCTCCACACAACCAAGCAATGGTGCTTACCCCAGCGGTAGATGGGTGAGAAGGAACCGATGACACCGTTGTTTGCTGGGTGACGACTGACGATGACCGCTGTTGTGGGAGCTCTATGGTCTTGGCATGCTTGTAGCCCACTGCGAAAGGAAAACATGTTGTTGTGTTGTTTATTGCAGACTTGGCAATAGGAATCTGAATAAAGATCTGCCTTTTACCCACTGAAATGTCGGTCTTGTCCCTAACTCGACATTTCGCAGGTGTACTCTGCTTTTTCCTGGTGCCAGGGGTTACTGACCATGAGCCTGTGCCCAGTACAGCCCTGCCAGGGGATCTGGACACCATTTGTCCTCATACGTGAATAAAGGGTGTGTGTGTTCTCCTCGTACCTGTGGCAGTTGTGGTGAAGAAGCCCCCGTTGCTGTAGTAGGACAGATGCTGATCCACTCCCTCCGAGGGTTCGGATTTTTCATCGCCGCCACTGATGCTCAAGGCGCTGGCGGAGCGGGAGTGCTCCCGGCTGCGGCGCTGGGCTTGCACTGCAGGGAGAAACAGTGGGAACCAGTTCACCTTGTGCTGAGGAGATGCACACGTGAAAATACATCTGTACAACTACATAGGTTACGTTGTGATACACACTGTGCTGAAGTTCTATCTAATCAAAAAGGGGTGGTTGTCAGCTCCCTGCTATCTTTAATATGCAGAATTTTCTTTCTTTCTCAAAGCTCCCTTGGTTTAGTGCTGCTACTTCCAAATTTTTGTTCTAGTTATCCCATGCTTTCCTTCATCAGCTGCCACAGATCTGAGCAATGGCTTCTATTATTGAGGATCTCTCTTCTCAAGCAAGCAGCAGGAAAAGTGTTGTGTATATATATATAAAAAAAAAGTAACTGAGTAACAGTATTTTTAGAATTAATTGAAAAGTAAGCAACTGTCTCACACTTTCTGTGGATCACATGAACAATCATCCTGTTTTAGATTATTAATACATAATGGTAAGGAAGATTAACAACATATTTTTAAAGGAACATGTTAAACACCCAGCTACATTTGGGTGTTCTTGCACAGGTAGAGCACTAACTCCTCTGATTATCCCCAAGCTGTCAGTTTTGCTCATGGGATTTGCCCAAGTTGAAACCCCATTTTGCACAAAGATGAGAGGCTGTGGCACAAACCAGAGATCATGTGCAAGCTTCTGGACTGGATGTTGTCCTCTGCTGGGTCGTAGTCAAAGACCGAGCCCGGATTTGTGCGCCACACACGAAGGCCTGCAAGAGAAATGGCATTTTCTGAGCTGAAGCTCAGGAAACTCAGAGCTTGAGCAGCAAATTTCTGTCCTGAAGAGCAGTAGAAGGGCAAGCAGTATTTCATAAACTTGTGTTTCTCAAAGCTAGAGCACAAATGAGGCTCTTTAAAGATAAATTTAAGTATTTAGTATGCACAGAGATTAAGTTAAACATACAAGTAAAAAATGTTAATCAAGCATTACATTATAAAGTTGGGCAGAATGTTTAGGCATTTGCGTTTGTTTTACAGCTGCTGTAAGAGTATTTTCAAAATGGACTTTGATAACACCACCTCCATGTAATGATAAATTGGAGCTTGGCAAAAGAGCTGCTCCAGGTCAGCCCGTGCTGTGTGCAAATGAAGCACCCCAGGTGGTGTAACCCGGCCCTGCCCACCCGTCAGGTTCTCCTGGTCCTGGTCCACGCGTTTCCGCTCCATCTCCACCACGCGCCGCTGGATGCCGCGGTAGCTGATGTCGCTGAAGTCCTGCATGTTCTTCTTCACCCGCTCGGTAATGGGGTCGGTAACCACGGGTGTGAAAGTCCCTTTGCTTTTCTCAAAGTCTTCGTGGTATTTCACCTGCAATGTCAAATGAAATGTTTGTTGCCTCTAGCATTGAAGAATTTGGGAAACCAAACTCACAGCGGCCTTGAGCTGCCACCCCCAGAGTGTCTCAGCAAAATGTTCCTATTTAAATCCCTTCCCAGGTTAAAAACACACCATCTAGCAATGCTCTTACCGTAGAGATGTGTCTCTGGGTCTCCCGTACGCGGCGCATTTCAGGTGTATCCAGCACGTAGGCGGCTTTGCCCTGTACTTGTTTTCGGAAGCTGTCCGAATAGAGAACCTGCCAGGCGAGAGGAAAATGTGAGGACAGGACACAAACCCACTGCTGCGTCGTGGGGAATGAGCTGAGCTGCCACAGCCTGGCACAGGAGGAAACAAAGCCAACGAAATGCAGCAGCTGGTGAACAGCTGTTAACATTTCTTTCATAACAATGAAACAGCTCTGCACTGGATCCTAAACATCCCTTTTCTTAAATAGAAGCTCCTTATTTCTTTTAGCCCTGTAACACAGGGAGAGGTTACGCAGTGAATATTCTAGGTAATGTTGTCACACATTTGACATGCACCTCGCTGACTGCAGTGGAGTTCTGTGTGAAACACATCCCGATTCACCCTGTAT